AAAAATGATCAAATAGGGTGGTCATCCAGCTATACACCAGAGTTATCGATAGCGGCCAATTGCGGCGCTATACCGAGATAGTGGCCTGGAGGGGTGACCCTCTGCTATTTGATGTTTAGCAGGTAGCGGGAGCGAAGCGCTTCCCGGCATGAGCGAGTTTGAACTGTTTTGAACGCAAAAACCCAGATTTACCCTTAAAATAAATAAACATTGGAGGAGTTGTGGAATTTTTCCAATTTGTCCTAACTCAACACAAAACACCACAGAGGATTCGATCTTCTTTCTTTCTTTTCTCTTTTTGCTTCATTTTTTAAGTTTTCTTCTCGCGATCTTCTTTCTTTCTTTTCTCTTCTTTATTCATATTGTCCTGTTTTTTTAAGTAATAGTTATTTAATAACTCTATTCCTCTTTTATTTGTTTGGTTTTACATCAAATATGTTTTATAGATTATTCATATTTAGTCTAAAAATAGTCAAATAACGGTTATCCCGCTATCCCACTTTTGGGGTCGGCCGCTCCGCTCCACTATCTGGGATTGATAACTTTGCTATACGCTATCCCGCTATCCAACTTTTGGGATCGACTGCTCCGCGCCGCTATTCGGGAATGACTACTCTGGTTAGAACACCCGTTACTGGACTACTCACTCGAGATATCGAGTTTTGGGCATACAAAATGTGTTTATAAGTGGAACACGTCTCTCGGCTTACACAACAGTTTTTTACGGTTGAGTTAGGACTAACCCAAATTTTGAGATATCAACTTCAAAGTTTGTTTATTTGAGATAATGTAAACTGTGAGTTTTGAATTGAAACCAATCAAATTTTTTTTTTTTTTGGCTCAAGTATGAAAAGGAAAAATAGTTTCACAACTATATATATGAGTTTGACTTTTTCATACCATCTTTTGAAAATGTAGCCATTAAAATCCAAAAGAGGACACTACTGTTCTATGTTTAACTACTTTTCTTAGTTATCCTTTTTCATTGTATCTTTACTGTATGATAGATTTAACATGAGGTTATTGTTGTCAATAGCGGGCGCACCAGCCGCTATAAAGGCGCACCGTAGCGGTGCGGCACCCCCCGCGCGCTATTTAGGGTGCGGTAGCGGAGATGAAAAAGCGGCTGCATCAGCCGCGTTCCCGGGTAGCGGGAAGTTCCCGGGCGGAGCGGCTCCGGTTCTCTTTTTTTTTTTAAACAATTTTCTGGGCCAAATTACTTAAATGCCTCTGTTTTAAAACAGTTTTTGTTTTCTTTCTCCCTCATTCGTTGTGTTTTATTGTGCCCTAATTCCTCAACTCTCCTACGATTCTGCCGCCATCTCCCTGCAACTCTCCTTCTTCGATTCTTCCTCCATCTCCTTCTGCCATCTCAGGTGATTTCTTCTAATTCTTCAACTTATTCTACTTCAACTTATTCTACTTCTTTTCTTTCTACTTCTTTTCTTTCTACTTTCTACTTCTTCTATTTTGTTTTGTTGTAAACACCGTTTCTTTCTATTTTGAAGAAGCTGAAGATGAAGAATTGGAGGAATATGAAGAAGATGAAGAATTGGAGGAATATTTTGATGATGCTACATGATTTCTATGTTTGCTTGAATTTTCATATGATAGTACTAAGTTTGAATTTGAATCTTTATGTTTTGAATCTTGATTAAGCATTGTTCTTTGTTTGACATTAGATTTTATAAATATTTTATGAGTGTTGTAAAATTAGTTTAGTATTACATGACATATGTTTTATAGATTATTATATAATTATTAGTATACAAAAAGTTATCCCGCTATCCGGGATCCCGCTATTCCCACTTTTCCCATTCCCGGGGGTCGGCCGCTCCGCTCTGCTATCTGGGATTAATAACTCTGGGTTATTCACTCTGCATTTTTGAAGAAAAAAAAACTTGTTTAGCTGGTTATTAGTATCTATGGCCATATTGATACGTGGTGTGATGAAAAGGATTTCTAGATAAGTGTGACTCATACTACACTAAACACGACGTCAAAACTTAGATGACTTATACTGTATGGTCTATTTTGTAATTTTGATGATTTTTTTTATGCAGACTGCTGTATCTTCCTGGTGCTTTTCTAGCTACGGTTATTGGATTATTAATTGATGTGCCAGTTATATCATTTGTTGCCATATGCAAAGGCCCGTACATGCTTTTCAAAGGGTGGCACCGATTGTTTCATGACCTTATTGGTCGTGAAGGTCCTTTCTTGGAGACAATATGTGTACCTTTTGCAGGTCTTGCTATCCTTCTGTGGCCATTGGCCGTTGCTGGGGCAGTTTTGGCATCAATTTTAGCAAGTTATTTTCTTGGTGCATATGCCGGGGTTGTTGCTTATCAGGTAAATTCTCACACCTTTCCACCTCTACTTGTACTATTATTATTATATCAAGTTATGATACACTCATAGATTGATTCAGAGTATAGGACAAACAAAAGAAAGAAAAAAAATGATAAAGGTTAGTAGCAGTTGTAGAGGCCTCCTAGAGTCTATGCAAAAACTTATTGGGTTGTGGTTTTGTGTAGTAGTTATAACTTATAACGTCACCAATACCGGCCAAATAGAAGCTGTAGCGGCCGCTACAGTCTTGGTTGTTAAAAGTGCAAGTTGTGGTGCATTCTCACAGGAGGGCTGCAGAGCAGCGACCGGTTTTCGCTGCTGGAGTCGCTGATGTGTTGCTTATCAAGGGTGCGGCCGAAATAGAGGGGTCGTGGCTCTATTTCACGGCACAGTTTGCATATGAAGCAGCGCTCCACACTGTTGTCAAATATCGGCCAAAGCGTGCCATGGAGGATTGTGGTAGCTGATTTTTTGACAACCTCCGTGGCAATTTTGTGAAAAGACGGCGGTGCCATGTTGTTTTATGGGATATGGTTGCTTAAGAGTTAGCTCAAGAATTTGACTATGTGTACAACGCAAGTATATATAGAGATAGGCTAAAATTAAGTACCTATCTGACTAAGCATAACAGAATCATAACTATAGTAACTCACTATAGTTACTATGAAATTAGGTTTTGATACCTAGATTCACAAGCCACTGGACTGGTCTAGTTGGACTGGACTATGAACCCATCAGCGTTTAATTTAATGAGTATTTTAATTTTAATTTTGTTATTGTGGTTTGCTTTTAGTATAGTGTGTTGAATATTTACTATGCACATAGTATTAAATTGTGTTTAGATGGTACGATATATTTTCAAGCATTAATGTTGTATTCAGTAAACTATTATGACTCTACAAGTCTAGACTATGGAGATTTCATTAGTTTGATAAAGCTCTTGAGTTAACAACCTTGCAGCAAATATTAGGGTTGAAAATTAGTACTAAATAAATTTCAACTTAGCTGCCTCATTTTGAAAGTGAAAGTATATAGTGTGTCGAACCATTCTGTTTTTGACAGATATGATCATAAACATATAGCGCATATGATTGACATTACTGTCATATCTTCTTTGTAAGGTTGAGTTCTATCTTTGCTAATCCCCAAAGGCCATCCCACACTTTGCTACCCTGCTATCCCAATTTTGGGGTCAGCGGCTCTGCTCTCCGGAACTGGCTACCTAGATCTATGACATTGTCTCTTAAGTTGATAGGAATCTTCTTTAAAAAATGCAGGAATCTTCTTTCAGGTTTGGCCTTCGGTATGTTATTGCAGCTTTGTCCCTTTATGACGAATACAGCAACGATATTCTCGACATGCCAGAAGGAACCTGCTTCCCTAGGTTTGATTCAGCTTTCCTATATTTATCACTAGGACTTGCAGTGATGCTTTTGTTTAATGGTTTTACACATTTGGCTTTGATAGGCCTCAGTACCGGAAAAATGAGGATTCATCACTAAGAACTAACGGCTCGGCTTCCGTTTCAAGACCAAACTCCTTTAAAAAGGCTCCCTCTAGCTCATCTTCAATAAAAAATAATATTGCCGAGTTGAAATCACTCGAGGTATTTGTGCATGACTCGGCTATCACCTCTGTTGGAAATTTATTTTTTGCGGACTGAGGATCTGTACTAAACGAATATTGTTCATGTTATGTGTAGCTGTTGGATGGATTATTCAGGGAATGTTGCATTGTAGGAGAAAAATTGATTTCTGAAGGTCTAATTACAAGAAAAGACATAGAAGAAGCAAAATCTGGTAAAGGGAGTAATGTTGTTACTATTGGGTTGCCTGCATATTGTTTACTCCAGGGGCTTTTACGCTCCGCAAAAGTCAATTCCATGGGTATATTGATTAGTAAGTCGAACCTTTTTTTCTCATTTTCCGATTATTTTCTTTTATCCACCTTGAACCATTTTTCTTCTCTTTTTCTGATTATTTTATATTAACCACGTAATACTGAACCATTTTTGTTACTTGCTCAATGTAGATGATGATACTGAACTAACTCTGACAAACAGACCAAGGGAGAAGTTTTTTGAATGGTTCCTCAATCCCCTTTTGATCATTAAAGAACAAATTAGAGCTGAAAATCTATCTGTCTCCGAAGAGGACTACCTCTGCAAATTAGTTCTCTTGAATGGTGATGCAGAGAGAATAAAAAAATCAGGTATTGGCCCGGCCCCAGAATCAGAGGTCAAGCGTGCTGAACTTGATGCTTTGGCTAGAAGGTACTTTTAAACCAAATGCTAGTTAATCATTTTTAAAGGTTCTTTTGTAAGTTTTTGTGCTGATAACTCATTTGAATGTTTTCTGTTTTGTATTTCATTTCTTTTACGTAGGCTGCAAGGAATCACCAAATCCATGTCACGGTTCCCAACCTTCAAGCGTCGATTTGATGATCTTGTAAAGACATTATCTGATGATCATGCTGAGAAGCATGGACCTCCACTAACACCAACAATGAATAGATCAAAGAGTGCCTTTGGCAGGTTGATTAGTTTCAAATCTGTTAGGGGGGCAAGAACTTATGGATCTGGTCAAGGGTCAGAACATATTGTAAGAGACGAAGAAAATTCTTGATATGAACGAATACCTTGTATATTTTTAACCCAAAGATACATAATTTCTCGGAACATCATTGCTTTTTTCTCGGCCCAACCACCAAAATCGGAAATTTGTCTTCCTACTTAATGGAATAAGACTTTGAGTACTGTTTGATGTATATTGTTGTATAGTACAAAATATCATCATCCTCTTTTGATGAGTGTATTTGATGATAACTCTAATATACGACCATGCTTTTTTCTTTCTACATGTACATTTTTTAATGAATGATACTGAAAAATGAATTGAGATGTAAAAACATTTGAGCAAAATGCAGTGTAACATTCTCATCGTGTTCATGTCTTCCTATTCAATTTTGCACACTAAACTTCATTCTCAATCAACTGTGGCATCACAGAACACACATGCATCCAACTGTTATAAATTCGGCTATGGATACCAGGGTCTTTCATGCTTTTTCGTTCAGAGAATCCTTCACACAGTAGTATTTTTCCAATAATTAATTGTTTTGATCAAGGGAAAATCACGGGAAAAACAAAAACAGAAGAAAAAAAACTTAAGAGGAACATCTTCCAAGTCTTTTCATGCATGCGAGTCAAAATTTCAATAATAATTCCACACAAAGTGTTACATCTCTATTTTTCTTATGAAAATGGAAGTAAACATGAGTGTGATTCTTTTACCTTCTTAGCTAAGGATACAAAAAATGTACAAAGGTTACAAAAGATTTGACTATTGCTAATTTCAATGTACTAAAACTTAAGAACTTTTTCATGTCTGTATGTGATGAAGTTCGGATCCGGATTCCCTGCTGTAAAGTAAGGATCCGTTTACACACAATAACCAATCTTGGCTGATAAGTTGTGATCGGACTGTCCAGATTACACAATAATAAAATCAGTTTTGACCATTATCTGCCATTGACTTAGATCAGACAGTCGAGATTACAATCTGTCCGACGTAGTTACTGCAGCAAATCCATTTCAGATAAAGTTCTCTTCTGTCAATGGTTTATTTCTTCTGGGAACATGAGACAGATTGTACGTTTTTTCCGCCATTCACTCTGGTCTTTTTATCTGCAGGAGGAGGTCCTAAAAGACCTATGTTAATGGTAGCACCATGAGCTTTAGCGGATTGCAACACAGCATCATAAGCTTTTAATGATAGACCAAGGCCTTCACTCTGAGCTCTCAAATATAACTCATACGCAACCATTGGCTTTCCGTCGTTTGCAAGGGCTTCAATCAGCATTTCATAAGTTACCTCATTGGGAGTGATGTTCTGAACTTTCATTCGATGAAACCATTCATATGCTGCACTACTCATACTATTCCGTACAGAACTGCTGATTATAGCATTGTACGTCACTATCGTTACTTCAATTCCTAACGTTACCATCTCCTGAATTATGGCATCCACTCTGCTAAAATTTCCTTGTGCGGTGTAAATTGAAGCCATGATTGTGTAGACATACACATTTGGTTCAACACCAACCTTGAGCATATGGTCCCATACGCGGAAGGCTTCATCGTAAAGTTTTCCCTTTTCAAGTGCACTCAATAAAGCCCCATATGTAATTTTAGTTGGTTTTTGGCCACTTTCCACCATTCTTTTAAATATTTGCACAGCTTCCGACGTTTCTGAAGCCCTCGAACAGGCGATAAGAACTGCATTCCATTCATTACTTCTAGGTTTCAAGCCTTTTTCTTCCATCTTGTTTAACAACTTGACACCCCATTTCCAAAAACCCCTTCTCTGGGCTGCACTAAGAAGAAATTTGAAATGAGACATTATGAGTTCGTATGACAAGTTATTCGGCTTTGGCCCTTTGTCCAATAAATCTTCATAAACCTCCAAAGCTGCCCACCATTTCTTGGTTTTCCCCATCAACCAAATTGTATGGTTGCAGACCGACAAACTGATCTTATCATACCGTTCTCTTATCCGAATATACAGCTCTTTCACAACAATGTAGTGTTCTTCGCGAGTACAAGCCCACACGAGCCGCTCAAGTTCCACGCGCGTCAGTGGAATCCCAGCATTATCCATACTAACAAGAAACTTTAACACATTACTGCTCCTGTTCTCAGAACTTACAAGCCAACATCGCATTATCTGATAGCAAACACGTACCGTAAACCTCTCAATCTTTTTGAATTCTCTCTCCCAATTTTCAGCGTCATCTTCTCTTCCTATTTCACCTCGTCGATATTTTTCTCTAAACTCAACAAAGAAACTCAAAGCTCCATTACCATCTTCCATTTTGCGATACGCCTGCACGGCCTGAGAATACGACATCGGAGACGGGGTAAGACCATTTCTACGGATTTCCTCAAACATATCAAGAACTTTTTCACCTTCTCCTTTCTCAAGATAAATTTCCATCAAAGTATTATATGTCATAACATTATATCCGACACCATCTCGAGCCATTTCATTCAAAATACCTTCCATTTCCGCAAATTTCTCACACTGCTTAACTACACCTAACAAACAATTATATATAAAAACGTTAGGCGAAAAAGCGCCATTAGTCTCAATCTTCCTCTTCTTCATCCAATCAAAAAGAACCATCACGGATTTCACTCTCTTCTCTTTACCAAACCATCGAATGACTGTCGAATACACCTGAAGAGGCAAATCACCCTTGTCCTTAAGAATCTCCTCAACATCCTCCACAGTCTTAGCACTCTGCAAACTAATAGCAAGTTCTCTAACATCAATCTTAACATCAAACTCTTTCATTTCACCTTCCTCAACATCATCGTCATTATCATCACCACCATTCAGTTTTTGCTCATCATAACTCTCCGAATTCTTCGAATTCGAATTCAAAGTGATCATGTCATCAATAGAATCATTCTTCTCCTCATCAAGGTCAGTGTGAATATTAACTTCATTCAATTTCCATCCTAAAGGTGGAGCTAAATCTCTAATATGACTCTTTCTAGAAAACACTAGACTCCCATAATAACTACTAGCTGTACATTGAAAAACACCAAGAGTTGTTGTAGCATTTCGAGAAATGGAAAAAACAAAACCTGGCTTGAGTTTCCTTCCCCTATTGAAGTTCAAATCAGTAAGAGTAAAAGAACTCAAAGGAATAGAAGATTTAAGGGATAAAGTGTGAATCATGATGAGAAATTCAGAAGGAAAGAGGTGAAGTCATTGAGGAAGATTCAGTTCTTACCATTCTATAACTGAGGGTCGTCGGTGTCAGTGGGAGAATGGGGGAGGAACGGCGGAAACGTTTCTTCACAACCCTTCATTTCAAGGTAACAACTAAAAGGATAAACCAAACACGACACGTAACAATCTGCCTTCACATGTTTTTTTTTAATATTATTAAGGATTTGCTAAAACGTATTAGAAAATGTCTTTAAAAGTTAAACTTTTTAAAAATTAAATCCATAATTTTTTTTAATCATTTAAGACGGGAATAGGCTGGATTAATAAATTATTTTGTCAAATCTAAGCTTAATTTGTTAAATTTTTTAAAGAATTAGCTTGTTATGTACCGCTACGCGAAAAAATTATAGAGAGTCGTCATCGAACTCTATTTATTTCAAAGAAAAAGAAAAATATCGAAAAAAATTTCAAAAGAAAGAATAAGATAGTATTGCAACTAAAAAGCGGATTCAGAAGTCGGTTATGCAAGAGAAATGCATTAACACCCCTCACATTTGCTCTATTCAATGAGATCCACTTTATTTATTTGTTTGTTTGTTTGTTTCTACGGGCATTGTTATCTAAAGCTTGCTTGCTAAAAATGCATGAATGAATTGATTGAGGGAAAAACAAAAGGTTTTATTATTGAGTTCGTCCGAGTTTTGCAATCCAGTGTCTACGTATTCTCATAGTGCAATGAAGAAATCATAACTCCGTAGTTCTTCTCGAAAATATTAGTTTGTTGGTTGTTTTTTAGTGGACGATGTTGTGTTTGTGTTCTCATAGTTAGGTGTTGCTGCTCGTTGTGTGGAGACTCACGCGTTACTTATTTGTGGTAGAACGGAAATAACATGTCCTTTCTGAAAAGATTTTAAAGGGAAAAGTTCGAAGGCAAAAATGTTTGAATTTGTTGGAGTGCTTTGTCAAGGAGGGTAGTAAATGGTTTCCAATACAAGGGCGCTTAACTGCCTCTCCACCTTTAGTTGCAAAAATTATTTGTGATTTGACTCGCACTAAAGTCTAGAAATGGAAGAAGAACAATATTAAGAATACACCGCCTCATTCTTTTCCACTACTTAAGGCTCAATGTTGCACGATTCGCCTCATAGTTATTAAGTGTTTTTGAGTTTTGATTAAGTACATAATTTTTTGTCTTTTAAAAGAAAAAAAAACATACAATGCAAAAAGGAAAGGAAAAGTAAAGGGATCTCAAACCCTAATGTTGTCATGCATCAATGGCCCTAAGGTTGAGTTTGAAGGGAAATTCTAATTAATATTATCATGTTTGAATTAACACCTAATGTCTATCTTAATTTAATTTTAATCAGAGATTAAAATAAAATCAAGAGAACCTAAGGGAACATGTGAGCAATCAAGCAATCAACAACAATCATCAAGCACAAAGCAAACCCCATGATCAAACATCAAGCACACAAAATCAATTCATCAAAAAAAGTCATCAAGCACATGACAATTCATCAAGACATGGCATTAAGTTTTGATCAAACACATCGATAATTAAACATGCCAAAACTCAACAAAGAAAAATCATCAAGATAAATTCATGAGGTTATCAAAACATGACATCAAGATCATTAAGAGATAGCATCAAGCAATAGCAAAGAAAAGCATCAAAAGCATTTGCATCAAGGACATGACAACTTTAGATAAAAATTCAACATAAACATGAAGAAAATAAAATCTAAAATATTAAAAATAAAAGCCAAAAATAAATCTTAAAATAAAAGTATGCATTTTTTTTTAATTTCAATTATAATAAGAATAAAACAAAATAGAAAGATGTGATACGGTGGGAGAACTGACTTGAGGTTTTGCGTTTGTGTTCGCAAATGTTGCGGTTTAGCATGAGTCACCACCGACTTTTCTTTTATCCAAAAAGGAAAGGTGAAAAAGCACAGGAAAAACCTTTAGAGATGTTTTTGAGTTCGGGGAGTAGATTATGAAAAGGGAAGGTATTAGCACCCTTTTCATCCATGGTTTTCCATGGGCTCTTAGTTATTCGCTAGATCACTTGCTTTTGTTTGAATGTGCTTTGTGTGGTTTTGAAAGTATTTTGAAAATGGAACTTTGTAATGGTTCTCGTTTCTATAAGAACGCATACAAAGTGTTTCTTTCGAAAAGAGGTATTTGTGAGATGTGTTTTTGAAAGTGATTTTGAAAAGGTATCTTTGTAATGGTTCTCGTTTATATAAGAACGCATACAAAGTGTTATCTTTCGAAAATGTTTCTAAATGAAAGTGTAGGTGTATGAAATATTTTTGTTGTGAGCAAGCGAGCAACTAGGAACAAATCTACCTACTCGAAAGGTCTTAAATATGCTTTTCCTTCTCCCTTAGATGTTGCTATCTTACCATTGTTTTGGTAAGAAGCCACATCGTTGGATGTGAAGGGACGGGCGCTGGGTCATCGTATGACCATGATAACAATGTTGTGAGATGACTTAGAACTTTTCTTTAGGGACTGAGATCATTTTGAAAGGTAACTTTGATAGCATCATCGAGGGACTATGATCTTGTACTTTTCGATTTGTTTGTGCTAAGACAACCCACATGCATAACATGGCCATTTTTCGTAAGGCAACAAGTGAGATTACCCTAAGGGTGAATGTGTGAAAGGTGTGTTTGATTGCATGCATTTAGTTTTGATTAGGGTTATCTATTTATTGGTTTTATCTTGCCATGCACGCCTAATTACTATACAGTATATGAAAGCAATAAAAGTGCAGAAATGTAAGTCCTACGCTATTACAATCATTAGGGGGATGGGTGTACAAGTTTATGAATGGGGATTGCAAGGAATTTAAGTCCTAAGTTACTATTACAACCATATTGAAATGTAAAATGCAAGAAATAAAAGGAAAGATTTGTTTTGTTTTTGTCTTAAGGAAATAAATTAAAAGGAAAATATTTTTATGTTTCTTATGTTAATATTAAAAAAGAGTTAATATTAAAAATGATGAAAAGGGAGATAAATGAAAGATAGAAAACAGCGTGCTGCTGTAAGAAAAACAACAAGGATCGGAAGTTTTGAAGCCAGACGCGTGATGACTCAGCAGGAAACGTTAGTGGGATCAGAAGTTCTGGATTCGTACACTCTGAGGTCCTGCAAGAAACGTCAGAGGGAAAGGGAACAGAGGTTCTGGATTGATACACTCTGAAGTCCTGCAAAAATGTTAGAGGGAAAACACAGAGGTTATGGGTGGTGTTCATCCAGTGAACCAAAAGTCAGAAGTTCTGTGTTACGCTAAAATAGTGAGTAAACATCAGCAGTTCAATGTATTTGACATGTAGGGAGAACTCAGAAGTTATGTGTTGGGCCAAGACTGTGAGTGAACATCAGAAGTTCTGTATTATGCTGAGCCAGTGGGTGAACATCAGAAGTTCAGTGTGTGTTAACAGTGAGAAAAATCATAGAAGTTCTGTGTGTTAAAACAGTGAAGAGAACTCAGAAGTTCTGCGTACTTAAAAAGTGAGAAAATCCTAGAAGTTCTGTGTGTTAAAATGGTGAGTGAAAAACAGAAGTTCTGTGTTACATTTCAACTCTTAATCAACATAAAAATAACTTATTCATTTTAACAAACAACAAATCAACACAACAGTTTATAGAAGCTCTGATCCTAAGTCTGAGCCTAGTATTATTCTAGAAGTTTTGATCCATAGTTTTTCTATTCATGCAATGATATATATACAACATTTATACTATGATATTTATATGTTGATGATATTCAGAATGAAAAAACAAGCAAAGTTAGAAAGACTTACCTTGAACTTAGAGCGTGCTTGGAGCTTTGAGTGGATGCCTTCGGATGTTCTGAGTCAGCAAGAGAAACATAAGAGGAAATGCCAAGTTCTTTGATTCAAAAGGAAGAACAAAGGTTTGTTTTTGTGTTTGGGATTTCTGGATCTTTTATGAAGATTTCAACAACTTTGTTTTCTCTCCTTTTTGCTAACCTCTCTCCAAAAGCCAACCCCTTGAACGTGTGATGGAGCCAAGTATTTATAGATGAATTTGATGTGTTTTTTTGGGGGAAAACAAATGGGGTTTTCCTTTTTGGCATCCTGCTCCTTTGTTTTTTTGTCACAATTTTCGTATGCTAGTTTGGTGCAATTATGGGATGCAGGCGTAGGCTGAGCTAGCTGTTGGTTATAGGTCCGCAGCAAGTTGTATAAACAAGATTTTGGGATTTGGTCAAGTTCTGACCAAAGCGTTGAATATAACCTTCATATGCTGAAGCGCTGCATTGTTTTTGAAGCAAGCATGGTGGTTGTCAGCAGGAATTAAGGAAAAGCAAAAAGCAAAGCACGGGCTTAGTGTCAAAGCTGCTATCCCAAGACAGTAGAGGTACGCGTGGTGAAAATCGTTTGGATAAAGACTCAGAAGGTGGTTGTGAGCATTAAATGAGCATTAAATGATGATGAGACTTATCACAACCAGAAATCTTGCAACATGAAGCTCTACACCGAGGCTTAGTTCTGGATCAAAAGTTCTGAGCTTGCGTAGCATCCAATCTTCTGATCCTCTTATCTTCTGGCTCTAACATGTTCTGAAGGAGCTTTCTAACTTTCCAGTAAGCTTGCAGCACGCTTTGTAATCTTCTTTGATTTACCCTTGCAAGCTCTGACTGAACCTTTGTGAAAACTTGCCCAGAAGTTCTGACAAAACTCTGTCTTGGGAATATCCAGAATTTGCTGAGTGTGAACACTAGCCCAGAAGTTCTGAAATTGTCATATTTTCTTAAATACTTAGAAAAAATTCTAAGTATTTAGAATTTTGACTTCTTCAAAGTAGTTTTGACTTTTGAATTTCTTGATGAAACAAACTTCATATTCTAACATGTCTTGATGAAATATGATTCTTGAGATTTGATCCAAAAGTCAAAGTTAGACTCCTTAGTGTGCAAATGACCATTTTGCCCTTGTGAATGATTTTCTTGGAAGATTGCAGTT